TCCTATGAAATATAGTTTCAATATAATTCTCTCTGATTTGCTATTATTACTATTATTATCATTATCGTTATCATTATTGTTATTATTATGTTTTGAATGCCAAGCAAACCCAGCAGTGGTCAGTTTTAAGACCTCTCACACTCCCTGCGTGGTACTGCAGATATCAACCTGTGGCATTTTATATCCGCTTCTGTTTGAACAAGTACAATTAAAGGGCAAAGTGAGATACGAGGCAGTGGCGTATCAAGCCTTTTGTGTTTAAGTGTCATACCTGTGCACCTGTATATACAATTTCGTCAGGAGTCCAGCAGCCAGAGGTGACACAGCTGTCCCCTAGAGGCAGTCTTGCTTTTCCGTATCATAAATTGGGATAAAGTCTATATGGCTAAATCTATGCTGAGGTTGAAACAGATTATCACGGAGTACTTGGGAATTATAACTGACATCTGTGTAATTTCTCCTATTCGCTGCAGTAAGTTGATTTAGGTACAGCAGAGAACGTGGCCTACAATTATTTCCTGTTTATAAATTCCCTATTTGTTACTTTTTGCCCTCAGAGACAGCCCAGAGCATATTTACAGACTTATTAGGTATCAGCAATAACAGGCTAACAGCCATAAATTCCATCAATTGTTCTTCATGTCCTAGAACAAAACTCACTGCCTAAAACACAATATTTAATAATTCTTGTGCTCCCAGCAAGCTTGTTTCAACTTCTGTCCCTTCCTTTTAGAAAAAGAGAAGGTGTGTATGGTGGAAAATGTGTCAGAGGGCTTTGGATGACATGAAAGGGCTACATCATCTTGAGCTGCAGACATGCAACTTCATTCGTAAAATGTATGGGTAATTATGTGGCATAATTACATGGTCTATCCAGGTAATTGCATGCGAAATTGAGCATGGTGTCATGTGCTAATGAGGTTTACAGCTACACGTACATTTTTGTGTGTGTGATTGCATTGATTAAGATATTTTAAATCGGCTCTAATAGTAAGGATTATTCAATTGTGTGATTTAAGCTACTCCCAGCAGGGTGAGAAGTGTACCACTGCAGAAGTTTAGCATGAGGCCTTTTCATCACTGATATATTTCAAGTGGAAATTGAATCGGGTTCTTTCTCCTACCACTGGTGGTTCAGTTGCTCTGCAAAAAGCTGCCTAGGAACTCAGGAGAATCAGTGAGGTCCTGCTACCACTGTCTCGTGTCCATAGGCTGTGTACAGAGTGACAGATACAGTGTGCAATGTGCAAGCCGGGTGCTTGGTGCTGACTTATCAGAGCGGTATACAGATGGTTATCCTGTGGCCTCAGGGAGGGAGCAGGAGGAAGGCCTGGTAGACCTGCCCCAGTATGATTTTGTTCCTCAGGCTGTTGGGGAGGATGTCCAGAACTGCTCAGAAAGCTGCTGCCCTTCCTGTTTCTGTACGTTGTGGAGACCCTGGGTGAGACAGGGTCGGCCTGAGGCTAGGTGTTTCTGCATAAATCTGCAGAAGTCACCGTCCCCAAAGAAACTGCAGCATCGCCTGCTTCCTGGTGGTAGGATGCACTTGCAAAAACAACTATATTTCAGAGGTCTTCCCCCCTATAGCAACTGTAGTGCTTGTAGTCCCTACACACAACACAACCAGCAGGCATGGGATGCATCACTGCCCATGCTGAAGCACCAGTCCTCCCCCACGTCCTTCTTCCTCCCATCTTCATACGCTCTGCTATCAAGTACTGGAAAGCAGAGGAAGGTCCATCGTGGCAGAGGAAGGCAACGGCTGATCAAATGACCCTCCTGACAGGAAAATTATGCCTGAGGTATCACCCATGCGATCCTGCCGTCATCACTGGCTGTGGGTACAGTAAGGCTGAATAGTCCAGGAGAGTAGGCGGGGAGAGGTGTGCCTGACCAAGGAAATTAGAGACTTATTAAATGCTCATTTACAAAGGAAGGTGAGATCATACCGGAACACAGCACCTGGCCTTTCTTGCAAGTTTATAATACTGACACCTGCTAACATTAAAAAAAAATAAAAAATACCCCATTAGGAGAATTATTTCACCCACACTGTCTTGCAGTTGTCTTTCCTTTCACTGAAAATGACACTCTTTTCCTACTGGCTACTGTAATAGTGGAAACAAGCCTAAAATGTGAGCATAATTGAGAACTCTTTTGTATAAAATTATCTCATTCAGACATACTGGTTCTAGGAAGTCAGGCTAATGTAATGATTATGGTAGGAGTCTGGAAGTCCAAGGCTGCTATTCCTGATTTGCCTACTGACTTGTTTTATGACTTTAGAAACAACTTAACTTTTCTGTGATTCATCTTCTTCAGCTGGAAGATGGATATGATAATGTTTGTTTATTTCAATTAAGTCTTGAGTGGCTTAAAAGGGATTAATTAACCTTCATCAGACAGGCAACTTAGAATGGCAATAATGCATAATGTTAATAATAACTGAGTAACCCTAAAAGGTGGGGGAGGTCTTCTTAAAAGAAAATGCTGAGCTTTAACTAAAAGATGGTATGAATAGAAAGGACAGACTCTATGTTTACAAGTGAGAACAGAGAACCTACTGAGCCATCTAGTCCACGCTTGACCAAGACAAGCTAAAGTTTGTGTATTTATTTTTTGCTGAATTGTGTGTCTTCTAATTCCACCTTGGCTATTATTTCATTCCAGTCAGTTGGGGAATGTTTACATCTGCTCTTATGAAAACCCATTCACATATCTCAGTATTTCAGATTAATTTGCCTGTCTGAAGCCTGGGTATATCCTCCAAAGTCTGTTCTTTAAATACCTTATACTGTTAATATTTACAATACATGGTGCTTGGAATCATACCGCCTTGCCCAATGAGACCATTAGATTTGCAACCTGCTCCCAACCAGCATGGCTATTCTTCCACCACAGGTGTCAAGACGTTGTGCTGTTAGTTCTGAAAGCCTGGCCTGGTGTTCTAAGAGATATGGAGTAAATCTCTGTAATTTGTCTGAAGATAACTGAAATACATCAGCCTGTAATAGCTGAGGCTCTAGCTCTACCATAATAATTAAAAGCTGTGTCGGTGTCAAGAAAAGTGCAGTCTGAACCTGTACTTATTTGTGTATTTAAAACCAAAGAATTTAGGGCTAAATTCAATCCTTGTGTACATCTGTGAGTAAGTACTTGAGCATAGGTTTGATTCTTCTTATCATAAATGTACCAGTCTGTCTCTAGCTCCCAGTGGAAAGCACAAACCTGAAGACCTTTAGGCTACAAGATCCATTTCTTTCCATGAGTGGTTTAGGAGTAAATGGTGCTCCAAAGGCAGAACTTGTGTCTGCTGGTGTGCAGGTTGTCATTTAGGTTCGTTCATATTTTCTGAGGTAAAATATGACATTATGGCAATTATATCCCTGCATTTACAGGGTTGTATCTATAATTAATAGAGCCTAGAATTAGTGCTGTTTGGAAAAGCTGCAAGCACAAAGACAACCTAAAAATGACCATCATTTTCTGTGTGGATGACCGATTTCATTCCCATGTTATCGGTAAGTTAAATACTACTGGAACCAAAGTAGTGCTGAGAGAAAGCTCACTTATCAGCCCTCGTCAGTGGAATGACTGTTTGCTTCTGTCATTATAATAAACCTTCTATATAATAAAACTGACTGCTCCTTCCTCTGTGGAGAAGCTATTCTTCTCCAAATATTAGTTGATTTTAATTAGACCCTGTAGGTCCCGCAGTACGCCACTAGGTCTCATTCATTTGTAACTTCCACAGTTTTCCTTGGTGTGTTTATCACAAATAAGGTATCAGTGGTGTTTTAGCCTTCACGGTAAGTGCTTGTTTCGAAGTATTGCGCCGAGGGAACTTGTGGTAACATTTTCAAAATCACCTAAGAGCCCAAGTTCCACTTTCCACAACGAGCGAGGTGCTGAGGCTCTGGCTGAGGCAGCTCACAGGCCAGGCGCCATTTCAGTGCAGTCTATGCAGGCATACGGAGCTGCAGCCGGGTCCCTTCTCTTGGTCACACCAGGCCGCTGAAGAGAAATGCTTATAGAGCCTTCAGGATGTCTCCTACCTCATCTGCATTCGTTCAGGATCCCTATGGCAACTACAGCAATTGCTCACTTGGAACAGTCATCTTAGGATGGCATTGTATCATTTCTTTTTTTTTTTTTTTTTTAAAGTGATTTAGCAATTGAAAGTAAAAGAAAACAGTAGAACAGCATTGATGTCCCAATAACTCTATGGAGACAAAGTACAACTACTTAAACAGACCAGTAGATGTCCAAAGACTGCTATTGAGTGGAACAACTGGGCTCAGCAGAAAAGCTACAGCCTTCCTCTTGGGCAGCTCAGCACTTTTCCTTGGCACTAATTAGAATGGGGAGAGGGGGAAGCAGCCTTAAATCAGAAGGAAACCTCAAAAGTTACATTTAGGGAAGGAGTAGCTTTTATTTAGGTCAGTGCTTCTGAGGTCTCTAATTTCTAGCATCATTTTCTTGAAAGGATTCTGCATCTGTGAAGTGAAATTCTTTCTTACAGGCTCTAAACAGCAATGAAAATTATATAGTGAAGGAGTCAGTAAGCATTGGGATATATTTCTTTTCTCCATCTGATTATTGCTTAGAATCCATATCAGATTTTGACCTGAGGTTGTTGTAGGAGTATTGGTTTCATTCAGTTACTGCAGAGGTGTTATTTGTACTGTGTATCAATGAAGTTTTGATCAGTATCAGGGTGTTTTTCATGTCTCCATCCACAACCATTTCACGGAAAATGTCTGCTAGAATTCTCAGGTCTTCATGGTTTGCAGACGTCTGTGGTGTTTCACTTTGAAGATCCATACCACAATCCCCAGAGTCAGCAAAGGTGGGGTCTGTCGCATCACCCCAAGGCTTCTACATCGTGTTTAAGTCAATTTAATCACTTTTAGAGTAAGATTTTAGTGAATAGCAATACTTGCATTGAGCCTTCTTTTGGAGTAGAGATAAAAAAACTATTTATGTTTTGATTTTTTTAGATGCAGTTTTCCAAAGTGGTTGTGCTTGGATTGCTACATTTACATTGCTTTGACTCCAATCAGCTCAGCTGGATACTGCAACGTGTGAACATGCAACAGGTCACAAAACCGTAAGCTTAGCTTAAAGGTTGGGAGATTTTTAAATAGTAATATGCTCGAGAAATTGTGGATTTATGCACCACAGTGATCATGGTCAGACTTACTACAGAACTTGATCCTGGGTTTGTTAAATACCGACTGTTGTAGGACCAAGAAATTAGTTAGTTTCCATGTTAGTTCCTAATAAAGGTTTAATGGGGGAAAAAAAAGTCACAGTGATCCTGACAACACACTTGGGGACAGGTTGATAAAACTCTTTGATGGAAAAGAATTTCTTTACATTTGAGTGAGAGCAATAAATAAATGAAAAAAAAAAAAAGTTTTGAGCACTTTGAGCCTATCCTGGTTTTTCCCATATTTAACATGAGTGAGAGAAATCTCTGTGTGTTTATACATCTAGTCACAAAAATATTTTAAAACATTACTGAAATCAAACATTTGAGGATGAATTGTGTCCTTTTGGAAGCCAGTGGCTTAACCAGTGACTTCAGTGGTTAACATCTTTACTCGTCATTCTGTCTTGAGATTGAAACCCTTAACTTTAGAAATTAAGAGGAAAAGTAGTTGTAGAAGGCATGAAAAGAAATCAGATTTCCTATTAGTAACATGGAAATCTGACTGGTACCAACATTCAGGTATAATGAGAGGCAAATCTGAAGATACAAGCTTGGACTGAGATTATTGGCAATCTAAAGTTTGCTTAATTCAGAACTGAGAAATTTTTATTATTTTTTTTTTATGATTTCACATTAACTTTTATTAATTTTTCACAAATGTAAACATCAAAAGGTGCAAAATAGAAATACATGCTTTTGCAACTTTGTTCTTCAAAATCTATTACATTTAATGAATTTCCTTTTTCATGTATGTATATGGACTTTTGGATTTCTATGTGAGTCACAATTAAAAATCTGAAAAGAGAAAAGAAACATATAGATAGATATATACTTTTAAAATCAACATATGTTCAATTAAATTGTATTTTGCAATGAGGTCAGCCTGCTGCTTCAGAAGCTTTCCTGAAAAATATATTTGTGTGGATGAATCATTTTAAGATTCAACAGTCAGTGGAAGTTGACAGAGGCTTTTCATATGAAATATTACACAACCTTATGAACATCAAAATTATATGGCAGGAACTGTTCTGTTGAGCGCTACAGTCACTTTCCCAGGATCAGATCAATACATTTTCTGTCAAGGAACAAAATCTTCTAAAACAACCAGATTTTTATTTTTTTTTTGTAAGAAAATGTTATTTTTAATACAGCTAGCGGTGTAAGTCTATAGCAGTACAAATACAATCGCTTCTTATTGAAGCAAACTGAGGAGGTACTCCACAGTACATTTTCACAAACTCGCATCCGTCACGCAAAAGTGCCTGGACATGCTTAGCTTTTCACAGAGGGGCATTTATTTCAACAGGACGGAGCTCTGCCTGTAGAAGAAGCACATATGCTTGGTCTTTTCATTTTCAAAATCACAGTCTTTGGTTCTGATCCTACAGGCAACCATGAAGCTCCTGTAACTTGGCTAAATCCTGTTTTCTACATATGCAAGGGTTGTCTTGACAAACAGCTCTCAAGGTATGGAAAAACCCTGGAAACATTCTGCATGTGCATAGCTTTTAGGTGGAGGTATAGTTAAAGACATCACCTTATTTGATCCCAGTGGATCTAGCCACAGTTGCAGATTTGTTTTTAAAGACTCCTTATGTTGTCTGCAGTTCTTTAAGCACATTTGGGACATTCAGAGTTACTTTCAGGGGCTACTAAGGCCTCTTTCTGTATGAAACAAGACAAAGATAAAAGAAAGGGGTGAGATTTCTTTGCTTTTTAAGAAATTAGAACCATCGTTTGAAGTCATTCAGTCTCTTCTGTTTGCTAGGCCTTTTCTTCCCATTTTCTAGCAGACAATGTCCCAGTGAAGGTCAAGAGTTAATCAGAAAAAATAATTGGTTTCCTGTGTTGGGGAAGAATTAATGTCATCAGACTGATAGTTGTAATGATTGTAGAAGAAATAAAATAGTTATTGAATTAAAATAAAAATAAAATAGTTATTGAGTCTGGTCTTTATCTTGGGCTGAAGAATGCATACAAGTGTGTACAAACTTGAGATTATCTGAAGTAGAGATCCTATGACGCTTAATTTAAATCCTGTGGATAGGAAAACAGCATTTTTTAGGTTATCTGTTGTAAATCTTCATACAGAAAAGCTAAGGGTAATTGTGACACCACATAACTTCAGGCATCTAGGCACTTTTGCCATAAGACAGTCTCTTCAGAGGCTGCTTATGGACAAGGAGGGGAGCTGAGTAACCACCAGAAGGAATCCAGAATGATTCTAGGCCCAAGAGGAGCCTGTTTGTCTTTGGTAGTTGGAGTGAGAGGCCCTGAAAAACACGCAGAAAGTTTTGCTTTTGTCTATCTCTGAACTAAAGCACGTAACTGGATAATAACTGGATAACGCTGGTTTTGTTTGTCCTTCATCTCTTGCAACAGGCTTAAGATGCCTCAAGGCTGTCTCTTCTAACAGAGACTAGGGGAAGTGGAGTGAGGGCCACAGAAAACTTTGTGAAGCAGCTACAGAAGAGGGCAGTGTTTGCAGTGCCTGGTGGCTCCAGAGGGAGTTTAACACAAAGTTAGGGCCTGAGCTTCCAATGCGCATCTCCACCTCGGTGATGTTTACCTGAACAATACAGTTCTGAGAAGACGCCCTCCTGTTTCCTGAGGAGCTGTCAGCAGCTGTATCACTTTCCAACAGGTAACCTAATTTGAGTAGTTGTCTTGCTCAGTATCTGAATACCCTCTTTCTCCTCCAGCTAGAAGCAAAATTCTCTGACAAGGATCAACAGTCTAGATCCAACACTGTTTATTGAACTTCTGCTAGTGCAGCAATCCCTTCAATTTCTTAGCTGTCATGCAGACTCTCAGAAGGCAAGGAAAGGTACATTTCCCTTTTCTTACCAGATGTCACAGTGGTACCTCACCACTGGGGGTGGTACCCCATTTTGGTGTCTGGGTGACACAGGCCACAGTGTGAGATACTCTGTCCTCCACTGGCTCACACTTCTCCTCCTTGGATTCTTGTAAGAAAGAGCAGAAAAAACAAGTCTTGAGATTTCCTTCCTCTAGGGGCATCAGGCTGGCCATAGCTACTGCAAGCACCCTTGGACAGGTCTGCTCTACCATGAAGTCTTAACCCACCTACAGCTCAGGAGGCTCAGACTGGGTCTGGTAGAAATAACTATCCCCATCCTGAACTTTTAAGCAGTCCTCTGCTTGGTCCCACATGCCAGCAAAAAGCAATATTTGAGCTAAATTTTAATTCAAGTTCTCTTCAACCATTTGTTTTTTCAAAGCTGTGAGGCATCAAGCTTTCATTGTCTCCAGCCAAGAGAGAATGTGAAATGGCCCCAACAGGTGCTGGGGAGAAGCATTTCAGAATCAGCTCATAACTCAACAGACACAAAGTAAATGTATTCAATAAATATTTTATTTTGACACATAGTACACATTCGTACTTTAAGCAAATACTATAGCCAAAGGGATGCTTACAAAGAGATTGACACAAAAGAAATAGCAAAGCATAAAATTATCATTTTCCTGAACAGAGAGATTTTTGTACTTGGAAGAATTTTTATATTCTTTATTGAATACCATTCATGTGCTCTGTACTGCTGAGAATCCATAGCCAGCCTTGGGATAAATATTTTCAGAGCCATTTAATGATTTGGAGACTAAGGCCCATTGACAGTCAGTAGTTATTAGGTGCTTTTGATGGTGTTACCTGTCTTCTACAGTCCACGGGGTTCACTATCTAAACCCTTCAGGTCATTAAGAGACTTTCCATTTAGTTCAACGGCTCTACGCCAGTCTTGCAAGGTGCTGTGACCTCTCTATGAGGAGGTGGGAACCTTTCTGGAACAAGAGATTGGTTTGGACTAGGAGAGAGAGTTTAATTAAGGTAATACAAGGTATTTTTAAGTAGGCAACGCTCACTGCTATGATGCAAACAGCAGTTGTGCTAGAATAGTGTTTAACATGTATTTTGACCTTTCAAGTGAACGACGAAGAAAACCAGTGAAACCAACACCACCAATTTGATTCAAACTGCTGCAGTCTTCACTCACACCTTAGTTAGAGAAAACTCCAGTAACCTTTGGCAAACCTGAAGCATTCAGTCAAGATTAGCAAGGCAAAAAAAAAAAAAAAAAAATGACTCACCTTGTTCTCTTCTGTCTACTCAAATTTGAAAGAATCTGGGCTGCTTGTTGTTATGAAACCCAATCTTGTGTGGATTCCAAGCTGATGAGCACGAGCGCCTGAAAATATCAGAAAACTGTGGTTTAGCAAGAGAAATAGAGAGTGAGTGGAGGAGCCATCCTGTTGATTTTGGAAGGAGTGGCAAAAGTTCCACTGACTTCAGCTGGGTACGAGCCAGGCCCACCGGGCATAAAATTCCACTTGGCATCTCTTCCATCTTCCACACACAATACTGACAGGGGTCCTACAGACAAAATCTAATTGATTGTGGCACTCAGACATCACCCCAAAATTGTTCCTTTGTGGCAGAGTTTATCCCCGTGTAAAGATTCAGCATGAATAGGACTATGAGAGACTTGGATGCTGCATAAACCTTGTTTTGTTCCTCCGCATAATGGAATTCCACCCTTGGAGAGTAAGCAAGGAAGTCTGCTTCTAAATGGTTCGTTTTCTATTACAACACATGATGGATGCGTGTTTTCAAAGTATTTTAAAGGCATGTGTGCATTATACTAAAGAAAGGTGTTAGTTTGATGGTGCTGGAAAATGAAACCTTGGATTTAGCCAGAGATAAGAAACAGCCCTTTAGTATTTTCATAAAATCTTTGGTCGAAACATAGATGCAGCAGGATCCTATGGCTTCATCAGCCCCCTGCACCACAATTTTTCCTAACAGCCTTTCACAGAGTTTAATACAGAAGAGGAAGATCAACTGGATGTGAATATCGAGCTCCATGTGCTGAGAAAGGGTAAGTGCTGAGACAGTGCTATCCTTGTCGTATTATCGCAGCATCCACAGACTGAGAAAATGAGGGCTTCTAGAAGGTAATTCACCTGAGGAATTTGACCTTTATCTTGTTATTATGCTAAAATATGGCTTCACCATACATAAAGTGGACTAGGACAATTGGCATACCTATTGATAATGAGACATCATGATGTTGAAACACTTGAATGTTGTAGATTATTATTCTCCTCTTCGTTTCACACATATACACACCTGTTCAGAATGAAAATTGGCTAGCTATACATTTACTAAATTTCTCCAATAACACAGAAGTTTTGTAGAATAAAGCAACGAGTTCCAGTGGCAACATATGTGCTCAGCTCCTGCTATGAGATCGAAAGCAGACAATCCCTACAGACCCCAGCGTGGGGATGACAGCCTGACAAAATCACACCCCGTACTTACTTTCGTGTCACTGTAAAAGCTCTGAGTAAAGCTGGAGAATAAAAGAGATGAAACCATTTTAAGTAAGCATTGGTATGCTAACAAAAGCAGCACTGAGGTTTCACCAGCTGGGTCTTGTCTTGGGAAGATGCTGAATGGTCTTAACAGGGAAGGTAGCAACCACACAATTTTCTTGGTGTCACAGATGAGCCAAAATGCAACAATACCCTTGGAGAAAGTACATTATTATTCACAGTAATGGGAAAATGCCCCAAAGTGTCTGGGTCGTTTCATTAAACCACTGCAGTCAATTACATAAAAACTACTTTGGGGGAAGGATTCTATACCTATTACTGGACTTAAACCGTAAAGGAGTGTGGATGTGAATGAATTATTTTTTCCTTTGTATAAAAGCGCTACTGAGGTTGTGTTCAGCATAAGGAGAAATTTTGAAACAAGATAAATAATAAAATAATCCAACGGGAAAAACAATAGGAGCAACAACCATCAGAGAGTGAGCAGAGTGAAAAACCAATGCAGAGAAAAGATAAAAAGAGAAGCAAAGGTGGTGAAGAAAAAAATATCCAAAGTGCCCCACGTTCCTATCTGAATGTGCCTTGGAGGATAAGGGGTATTCCAGCCTTTCAGGAGGCAGAACAACTCAGCAGAAAACTAAACACAAAAGCAGTCGCCAAGGCTTTTTCTCCTGTGGGCCGTGTTTATAATCAGAAATCAAAACTAGTTAATATAAAGGCAACGATGACAAAAGAAGTACAAACAAAAATCCCTAGCTTGCAACCACCTACTTCAGTAGCAGAGTTTCAGCGTACGATGTCATTCCTACACTCTCATTTTCCTAGAAGTTATTTTCCTACAGGACTCGGGACAGATTGGTCCTCACCTGAACTTCAAAGGCGAGGTGCTCGCTCCCTAGCCATCCTGCTATTAGGAGCCTCCCAGGCATACACTGTGTCTGTTGAGTGATTTAGAGGCACTGATGTTCAAAGCCGTTCAGCCAGCCACAAGCTGGCCCACCTCGCACCGTTTTGAGGCCATTGCTGCCAGTTCCTTTGGATTGGCAGCAATACTTCCCTCAGAGAATTAATAATTGTAAAACATCAGGAGTTACTGAAACTAGCAGATAGCTAAAGTGATTCTTGTCATAGCTTCTGGGATCTTTTTTTTTCAGTCAGTTTTTTTTTTATCCAGTAGATCAGTCCATATTCCGTGTTCGTATGTTGTGTATTTTAATGGTGTGTTTGATTGTTTTCCCTGCCCTATTTTGGAAACAAGATAAAACATTCCAGAAAGGGGCTCGCCAATTAAATGTTCAAATCCATAAGGGATAGATGTTATAATACTCGTGCTGTTTCTTATGCTGAACAATAATTTAGGAAAATCTGCTGTATTTAGGGTATGTTCATCCCTGTGTGCATGGGAAGAACCTCACAAACATAGCACGTGAGTGTACATTTTCTGTAACTTACCCCTGGCAATAACCTGTGTTCAGACATCCACGCTTACCCCATCTCCATGTATTTAGCTCTTTCTGCTTATAAACTTGTATAATGTGTATAATGAAGCTCAGTCCAGTATTCACTCTGTAAGTATCTTAACAGGCAGGTGGGACCGTGGAGACCTGTTTTGTGTTGGTGGGCATTAACTTAGATCATTGTACCTGCAGAGAAAGTGCTTGCCAACACGTATTACAGCTCCACACTCTACCCTTGCACAATCGGGTTCTGCCTGTGTGTGGTTAGAGGCCCTGCAATGAAGCACTGCCATTTCCCTGAAAAGGAGAGCTGCATGTGGAATCAAGCGAAGCTGATATTTTTACCCATACAATTTTCCTCTTGCCAGGAAGCTGGTTGGATTTTGTTTTGGTTTGGTTTGGTTTGTTTTTTTGTTTTTATGAGAATGTCCATGGGGGAATGTCGTTTCCATTTAAGCTTTTATTTTAATTTATTTTGGTAGTAAATGCTAACACTTCAGTGAAGATAAAGATGCTGCTTGGTATATGTTGCCCAAGAAATATGAAAAATTTCTAATGAAATGTATTCATTTGCAATTGGAAGGTGAAGGGATTCCTGTCAGCCATAATGTGAAAGACTAGGAGGATTTGTCCTTAAGGAAATAACACCTCCCACATCAGTTAACACTCTGCATGGTAAGCAAAGGAAACAGAAGAGGGTGCATGGTCACAGTTTCTCCTCCACTCATCCCTGCATGCCTGTTACACCTGCATGTGTGGAAGCAAAGATGCTGAGCTCTAAACTATACAAATCCCATCCAAACGGCAGAGCTTTGGGAACAACCCCATGCTCCCCAACGCTGATGTGGTCTTTTCCAATAATTTCAGCAGGGTTTGGTACAGGACCAGGTCACGCAGCACTGCTAACTTTGTGCATCAGTATGTGAGGGTAGACAGAGAATGCTTCACTTTTATTTTATTTATTATTTTTTTTATAAATCAGCATCTTATCTCGTGAGTTTTCAAGAGACTATGCATGCACAGAGTGTTTTAAATGCACATTTTAAGAAGTTGTTTGCAGTTGACTGAGGAATTGCACCGGTGCAGGACCAAACCAAGAGGGTGAACAAGCGAGCCTGAATGCCAGTTTGAGCACAGTTTGGTAATGCTGAAAACAGAAAACTGAAAGCATTGTAAACGCTGAACTCATTCTGTCACGAGGACCAGCTTTGGGGGATTCCTGAGCCAGTTCACACGGTGCCCATAAGAAGACAGAGATGTTTGGGGGTTTTCTCTACAACAAGGCTGGGGAAAACTCAGTTTGGTCTCATGTTTGAGCACCATCTCAGCATAGCTTAGAAAGAGCCGTCGCTCCTCCTTGTGCCTCAGTTTTCTACGTATAAAAGAGACGTAATAATATCTACTTTCTCACAGGTTGGAACAGCAGTGAACATATGATGACTACAGTTTGGAGACAGTGCAGTAATCCACAGGTGGGCACCATGGGTGGGAAAAATGGGTATGGGACTGGATGCTGAGACTGAACCTCCACTGCTACTGGAACGGAGTGAGGCTTTGGTAATGCCTTAGGTAGAGCCTCCTCTTCTCTCTGTCTCAGTGACTCACGCCTCCAAGGGCTTGTTGAGACCTTTAGGTTCCTAACACCCCGCTAATGCCAAAGCAGAGGCATCTTGTGCAGCAGTGGGCAGGGACCATGTGTTGAGTGAGCAACCCGCTGGTGGCTTCCCCTGCTCCGGACTTGATCTGCTGAGTGACCTTCCCACACTGCTCCGCTTTGTGGCCAGTGTCAATACTCTGCCTTGTGAAGTTATTTGTCCGCAGCAATGGGGTGGCTTTGCCCCTCAGGGAACACTAGCTCCACCCCCACCAGCAAACATCACACACAATGTTTCATCCTCAGATAAAAATGGCTTTGTACCCCTGAAGCATGAGTACCAGAAGTGTGTTCCTCTGACTGAGGATGTGGCGACGGGCTTTCACGCAGATGGGTCAGTGAGGGGCAGGTTTTGTTTGGTTTTCAGTACTTCGTGTACCCACTCAGAAGCACAGTGGAAAAATGAATAAATAAAAACAATCAGAAACGTGAAAGCTGCACAAGCAAATGTACCAACCAGTTCCTTCAGTTCTGTCCAGTAACACAAAATCAGGGTGCAGCCCTGGTTAACTGCGAAATCTGAGACTTGGTCTTCAGTCTAGCTGTTGCCATCTGTACTCCAAAATAAGAGATCCTGACAAGTACTTACAAACTGGTGACAGCAGGAAAATATCCCCCTCTAGTCAGCAAGAGCTCTGTCATTGCCATTCACACTGTCAAGACTTCCCTCACTGATTGTTAAGTTTTGGAGCGAGAAACGTGCCTGAGCACAAGGCTCCAGCCTCACAAGCAAGACAAGGAAGGACAGAGCTCTGAAGCTACACTGACACTTGTTTCTAGGCAGATTGTCTGGACGAGCCAAGATCGTGCCAAGGCTTAAGCGTATGTGCATGAACAGCTCCCTCAAAGTCAAGAGATGTGTGTATAAACCTCCCTTTGACCAGGACCTCAGTTTGGATGTAAGGCACTCGGGTGATTTCTGAAATAATGCGTATGTATAGGCAGGAAAATTGGAATGGAAGCAACAAGTCAGCGTGGAGATTTAAGACTGAAGGGGAAATGATTATTAACTTAATCTAAGCTCTGCTGAGGATGCACAACGTGAGTTCATCTCGGTAGAACTTCCACACAGTCAAGTATTTAAGGTTTCTTTATGAACACCCCTCACAGACAATAAATCTCACCCAAGATTTCTGCATGTCTTCCTGCAACTTCCACTTGAAAAAGAATGCAGGCAGGGCTATGCAAACCACCAATGTCACAAAGCCCAAGACATGAATCGTTTCCTTCTTCCTCTTTTTTTCTTTTTTGTTTATTTCCTGGAAGGTCTCAATATCCATCCAGTTTTGTTTCCCTCCCTACGTCATTCTTCAAAGCTGGTAATCTTCCTTCTAAAAGCAGTTCCTCAAAAAGGGAAGGCTAGATAAGGTCCCCTGTCTCGAGGCTCCACTGGATGGGATGCTTCTTCCCTCTTTGCCAGCAGCTGAGCTTGGGATCCTTACAACAGTATTCCCCCACGACTACCACCTGAAGGAATAAACCACTGATCCCTGTTCCTGAGGCCTTCTCTTGTAGAGATGGATGGGATCACCAGCAGTGCTCCGTACTTGCCTAGATATAACGAGTTAAGAGTCAAATACCATGCCTTTGAGTGGCTCAGTGACTAATGCATGCTCTTGTTATTTAGGGTCAAATGGTCACTTGCACTGTTTACTTTACAAATGGTAGCAGCACTGTGCTGCCAAAGAAGTGTGCTGTGGTCTCAAAGCCGAAGGAACTGCAGGCATGGCAGCGGGGCGACGGGACGTGTGTCTGCAAAGCCCAAAATCCATGAGCATTCGGGCTCACACCTCATAGGTGCTGCTCTTCCATTCAAGTAGCTGCAGGGAGTTGGCACTTGTCAAGCACGGGCTCAATGACATCCTCTTCAGTTAAGCAGTGGACTTATCAGAATATAAATGTTTTGTTGCTTGGTTGTCCTTGTTCTCCTAGAGAGAAGGAAATGCATATTCGTGAGGTAGTTCTGGAGTCACTGGCAGTGTACTGGAGGTCCGAGGAGGATGCTACAACGGAGCTGTCGTTTCTTTAAAGGACCCTGAACATTTATAGAAAAGGGAAAACAAGCAAATAAATTAATGTTTGAATAATTCCAGATACGGAGATAGGAAAAAGAGGCCCTTGGGTGGCAGAAGGAGAAAGCTACTCAGGAGCACTGAAATGTATTAAGGGGCTAGCAAGCTAAAATTGAAAAAAGACTTCCAATTACATTTTATGCTTAAAGCAGTTAAATAATATTGCAGCTTGCAGTGAGAGTTAGAGTAAGAACTGTAAGGTTTGAGAGCATGGGGCTGAGGAAAGCTGCAGTCCTTCGGCTCAGCTTTTTGCAGGGACTTTGTCAGTAAGTCTGAAGGAATCCCACTTTACAGGGTGTGTGAGTGATAGACCTGCGGCTCTCTTGCATGTCGCCTGGCTTTGGAAACCAATTTACTCACACAAGACTAACTCAGTGGGCTACATAAAGCTCAGGTGAGCAGGTCTGCCCTG